GGAGGATGTGGCAATGCAACTCGGGGTCCAAACTAATGGGATGTCGGTGGTAATGTCACATGAGTTTAATAAGGTGGAACAACTTTGCAACTTGTTTCATTTGCAACTCCGACGTTACGACGTATGCACGACACGACAAAAGTATGACCAACTCGGTCGAAATTATGAACAACCATTGATGTTGCCAATCGCTCATTTGCTTCCATTGATTCCACCACTGTAGGAGCCCAAGTTTTACCTCTATTTATGAGACTCTCAATTTCCTTGCCTTTGTCCGACCAAACTTTACCCAGTCTAAAGTACGTCTCTTTCACCACACTCGCTATTGGGAGATGGCGTGTACCTTTTAATACCGAATTAATGGCCTCAACAAGGTTTGTGGTCATATGTCCGTATCTCCGACCTTCATCGTATGCTTGCGACCATTTTTCCTGCGGTATTTTTGAAGCCCACTTCCAAACACGCTGATCATCGTAAAATACCTTCAAATTCTCCAATCTCTTGTCAAAATTTGGTCGACGTAGTTCGTATCCTGTTCCATAATATATTGTGTTAAACCGCAATTAAAAAAACCATGTAAAAATTACACAAATATTGAAAATAAAACTTACCCATGTTGACTATCTCGCTACGAATATGTGCGTTATGAAACTGGTCGATACTATTCTTGCCAATATGACGGATACAAAATGTCGGATATGCATACGGAGGTATCCAACGACTTCCTGGTCGTTCAATTGCCGCCAAAATACCCGTTCCTCTATCGGATATCAAGCAAACTCCATCTTCACGAACGACATATTGACGTAGATTGGTCAGAAAGAAATCCCAAGCCTCTGTTGTCTCTCCCTCAACAATGGCGAATGCAATTGGGAAGATATTTCGCTCACTATCTTGAGCAACTGCCATCAAAAGTACATGCCTATATTGACCATACAACCACGTACCATCTACTTGGATCATATGTTTGCAAAATGGAAATCCTTCAATACATGCCTTGAATGCCCAAAATAGTCTATGAAATATTTTCTTCCCTGGCAGAAGTTGACCTTCTTCGTCATATGCGGGCATGGTTTGAGACTTCACTATAGTTCCTGGGATAAATCGCTTCATTGCTTGTAGCAAATGTGGTAGCTCATTGTACGATGTATCCCAATCTCCATACGTCAACTTCATTGCCTTCATTTTCGCATTCCACACCTTGCCATATTTTACTTGATATCCAAATTGGCTTCGAATAGATGCAGCTAACACTGAACAAGATATCCTTGGATCCTTTTCAACCATCGTCTTCACGTATTCACATATTACATCGGAGTCCAATAGTCGGTGGTCTTGTTCGATGGAGTTTCGCAAACATGTGTGCGAACCATTGTACCTCGTGATGACCCAAACATCGTGCCTTTGATTTTTCGACACTCTGATCTTCCACTTGCACTCTAGGCCATATTTTACACACTTTGCGTATAGGGTTTTCTGGTTGGACTCTGCAACATGGACATTAACATGGCATTTGATGCAGTACTCTTTAATCGCCAGCGTAGCTTCATTTTTTCCTCTGAATTGCACCCCAACTGAAAATTCACCAGAATTATCGAATGATTCAGTCATTTGGTACGGAGGTAAATGTGGCATGTCTGGGAATTCAGGTGCCCTCATTGCATCATAGTCTATCTCGTACATGTGAGGAGTAGCTTCATACGGTGTCGGAACTTCATCAATTGCACCTCCACCAAAAATATTTTCGTCGTCGCCCAAAACGGGTTCTTCAGTTTCTTCATCTTCGCTTGAATCATCATGAATTTCTCCCCATCGATTTTCAGCGTCAATATCAACAACCAATTCCGGTATGTTTCTCGTCTCATACTCTGTTGCTGTAGATGTCCCCCCGACTTCATTTACACTTTCCAATAATGCCATAAAACTGTTCGGGAACCTGTATGTCGGCTCCTCAAACTGACTATATAAAACCATTTCATATGGATTTTGAGCCACACCTCTTGATGACCCAGGAACATCACATATGTTACGCACATCAACAAATAATTCAATAACTGCTATATTGGTTGACTCATGTAATCCAACCATGGTTCCAATATCATCATCTTCTTCAAGTGGAACTGTAACATATCTGACTGGGTTAGAGCATATCATAAACCTATACCTCAAACCATCAACTGCAGCTTGAATTTTTCTTTCTATCTTATACTTCATTTCTATAAATGTGATGTCTTTTTTTAACATCATATTTATTGGTTTTTTAGACTGAAAAACTACTCCGACCTCATTTTCCATAATCTGTCCATTATATTAATGATCAAATAAAATTTATTATTTAACTTGATGATTGCTTACTAATAAACCTAATAATGATTGATAATTACTATTAATCTAATGATTTGATATTTAATGATTTAATAATAATACGATTTAGTCATAATCACTAATAATTATTTATTATAAATATTTAATGATTTAGATTTGATTCTAATCATTTAGTAATTATTACTAATAATAATGATTAGTTTGATAATATTTTTTATTTTTTAAAAATATCAAACAAATTTGTTAGGCAAAACTGTCGAGATAATGTTCTCGAAATAATTATTTCGTGAGATAATGCGTTGTCCGGATTATTTCATTCAATTAATTTTTACTCCTTACTAATATACACATACAATGTAAATTAAACAAAATATTTTTAAAAACACTAAATATTTTTAAACACAATATTTTTTAAAACGGAAATTATCTCGCACAAATTAGTTTATATAATCTAATATAAACTTACTAACTAACTAATTTACACATACAACAACAACAAAAATGGACAACAAAAAATAATAAATTACTCACGTCTTTATGCCTTCTTCCTTTACTTCTTTTCCTGCTTGTTTCTTTCTTCGAATCAATCTACGTGGGCAAATGTTGTGAAATAATGTCCTGTATGTGTAAACAAAATATTTATTTAAACAACAATAGCTCCCACAAATTAATTTTATATAATCTAATATATTATAATATACCTTAAACTATAAACTATTCTTTATATAATATAACTTAGTTAAAATAACAAACTAATTAAGCACTAATTAATTTTTTTAAACTAATATATATAAACTATTTCTTTATTATAATATAACTTAGTTAAAATAACAAACTAATTAAGCACTAATTAATTTTTTTATAATATAACTTCAACTTCAACGAACAACCTAATTACGTTTAAAGACACTAACAAATTATTAATATTTTTTATATTTAATAACTTAAACAAAACTAATTAACTAATTTTTTTATATATATAATATATAACTTAAACTAATAAACTAATATATATAACTTAACTACAAACTAATAATTATACTAACAAACTATTAACTAGATTTTAGTTTTACCCTAAACCGAAACTAACAAACTAATATTTCATATAAACTAAATTAAACAATAAAAAATTACCTCACGAACTATGTTTTGAGCCTCTTCTTTCTTTTTCTTTTCTCTCGGCAAAGTTTATTATGTGCTTATGCTTCTGGTTCTGCTTGTGCTTCTACCCTAAACCCCATATCCTTTATAAAGCACTGAGCGTTGGACAGAGTCATTAAATTTGTGTTGAAGCAAATAATATTAGCATTGCATCGTATAACTATTGAGCATTGAAAGGCTGCAATTGAACAATAATATTTGCTGCACTTGGCAGCTAAATTAACGCTGCAATAACGCAACTATGGATGCAACACATGCAGCTACGGATGCAGGAATCTCCCAGCTATGATGCAACGCATGCATGCAGCTACAGGAATCTCCCAGAGCTTGGTCGCCGAGACTCCATGGCGACCTACCTACCACGCCGTGACTCCATGGCGACCTACACCGTTCGACGTGCATGGCCCATGCACAATTCCCACGTCCCATGCACAACATGCATCCCACAACTCCCCCATGCATGCTCCAATACTATTTGATTGCATGGCGACCTACACCTGCTCCTTTGCAAAACACCACACAGGTCGCTCGGATGCCATGGCGACCTCCAAGGTCGCCCGGATGCCATGGCGACCTCCAAGGTCGCCCGGATGCCATGGCGACCTCCAAGGTCGCTGTAGAATTCACCCCATTTCAGCAATTAATCTGGGATGTGCATTATCTCGTGAATAAAAAAGTTCGAGAACATTATCTCGTGAATTCACCCCTCTATTGGGTGTTAAAAATAAGGGTATGCAAAATTATCCAACCCGTTGACTCGATCCGAAGACCCACCGATCCGGACCTAAAAAACGAATAATTTCTTAAAAATTTACCCGGAATCAACCCGACATTTCCCGGGTCAAGCCCGGATCACAAAATTGAAATTTTCCAGGTACCTAGTTACCCGAATACACGTTAGTTTATATATATATAAATATATAATATATATATATATATAATGAATTATTTATATTATGAATTATTAGATTTTGTAATTCGAACTTTTAAATTTTATGTTCAGATGTTAGAGTATGTAATTCGAAGTTTCGAATATTTAAATTTGTATATATATTTTTTAAAATTAATAATTTGAAAATAAAAAAAACGGATATCAGATACCTGAAATACGGGTACCCACAACATCTAGGTCGGGACTCGGGCCGAGAAATTACCTACTCGAATATTACGGGTACCCAATAATCGGTACCCAATAACCCGAGTACCCGGATTTGCACACCTCTACTTAAAAATACTATAATATGAGTTATGATTAAAAAAATCACTTTTTTCTAGTTATCTATACAAGAGAAAAGGAGAAGGCATTGATCAAATATTAATTTATTTTTTATCATTCTTTAATTAAAAAAATAAGAGTTAAAGATTTAACATTGAACCCCTCCCTTCGTAGTTCGATGGATTTCTTTTATTAACTTTCAAAATTAAGGACTAAAGGGTCCAAGTTATTATCAGTCGCACCATAAAAAATATTCCATCCCAGAAACAATAAAAAATACTAAAACTTTGGTAAGTACTTGGTTCTTCAAACCTCAGCACTTGATCTCCTTCAATGCATAAGCCAGGTACAACAATGTTGGGTCAGTAGCACCCTCCTTACAGTAACCAAACACCACACATCCGTCGTCGTGCATGCTCTCTCCGACAAAACTGCAAGATACATTCCATAGTTTTGGCATCCTAAATACCGAAAAAGAATTTGCTGAAAGACAGAAGGAACAGTAATGGTAAGATGCAACTCACAATTGACGGTCCTTCAGTTTCCCAAGCAAATACTTGGTTGCTCCCTCGATGTTTTTCTTAAAGCTTTCTTGCTTCTCGGCGTCCAATCTGGGTGTCAAGTTTTTTATGAACTTCTTTATGTAGGCAATGAACTGCTTCTTGTAAAAAGGAGGTTGCTCCTGCAAGAGGCATTGGAATACATTCTTCAAGTTCAAACTCAAAATGTTAGAAATCGTGAATATAATTTGAAGAGTAAAACCGACTAACCTGAAGCCTAAGAGTGTCGACAATGTCAACAACCTTCACAGCTTGATCATCAACACCCTCATCCTCTTCTGCACCTTCAGCAGAAGGATTGGCACCAATGTCAACATTAACAGTTCCTTGCACAACCCAATGAAAATAGCAAAAAAAACATAATTGAGATTAAATTCAATTTCCCATTATAAAAACCTAAAACTTTTGTTCAACTCAACTAGATCGAACAAAGTCCAACACACTTGCATCAACAAAAATCCAACCAAATCAAATAACCTTAAGCTCAATGATGAAAGATCAATCAAATAAAAGTTCATTCATCACACTTACATCGACACGACTCCAAGACATCTTTAAGATGCATAATAAAAGATCAGTACTTCTTTCTGCTTAAAACATCTGAATTCTAGACCCGATGGATAAAATCTGAAGTTCTGTTGGGGTTTCTAATTTTGTCACTGATTAAATCTACACCGAAATATAACCAAATAAGAACTAAACATATATCTAATAACAACACGAAAAAGATCACGAAACCGAACAAGAAAAGAAAACGATACAAAGCAGTGAAAAGCAAGTCGAGATTGAAGAAATATTGCAGGAAAAACAATTACCGGTAATGAGATCTTGGTAAACCAACATGATTTCAGCTTCTCTCTTTGAGAAATCGAAGCGAGAAGCAAGGAAACTTAGGTATGGCGGTGGGAAAAGGCAATGGTGAGTAAAGCGAGCATCTCCAACCTCATCTCTACTATTTAGCATCTCTTTAAAATAATTCATCTAATACTATTTTCTACATATAATAATAAAAATAAAAAATTACAAAAAAAAATATAGCACAGTTACAGTGTAACGTGCAATGTAATTATCATCACAATACAATTACAAAATAACGATTAGTTGGAACATAAATCATCTTCAAAGTGGAGATATTCGTCACTAACGATACGCGGAAGATAGCTTTAGAGAAGAGAAAATGATGGGGACAATAGGCATATTTATAAGCGAGGGTTTGGGTTTTTAGGTTTGGGTCTTAAACAAGTTTGCTTAGTATTATGGATGAGTATTTAATTAACTCGAATTAATTTTTTAAAATTAATCAAATTTATAAATATTAGTTTATTATTCTTATTCGTATATTATTATTAACTTCTTTGAGTTGGTTTGAGAATTCAACTGAATTTAAATTGAATTAACTTTACTTAGTTTGTGATTAACTAAGGTGATTACAAAGTAGTATTTGTTCTAAATATTCTCAATCATTTGACATTGACTGCTCAATCATCCTGCTACAGTCGCTGGTGCTCGAACCCAAGACCTCTAGGAACAACAACGATTCTTTTAACCACTTAGATAAGTTGGTTTTTGCTGAATTTAAATATATTTATTTGAATTACTATTTAAATTTGAATATAATTATTTATAATATTATAGTACTAATTGATTTTAATTTAGACATTCTCTAATTATATTATATATATTCATATTTAAATAAGAATTATAATGTTATTTGATAAATCAAACACCATCTAAAACTATATGTTTATAATATTATTTTTAAAGAAAAAGTAAAGATAAAATATTTATGGGAATATAAAGGAGAGAATAAATTGATAAAAACAAAGAAATTTTAAAGAGTTGCATTTGAAAGATCATATTGAATAAAATAAAATTTTAAGTGATAAACTGACAGAAATAAGATTTATTTTGTTAAAAATTAATTGTAGTTATAAGGATATTCTACGGTGATCGAGGAACGTGTAGTTTAAATTTGATCAAAAATAGATTTAAAACGAAGGAATAATCGATGAAATAAAGAAACCATGACTTAAATCATAAAATAATTGAATTACTTAATTAAATGTTTTATTTTTTATTTTTCAATTATTTTAACTTTATAAATTCAACAAAAAATTAAATTTAAAATTTAAATCAAAATTTTAATTTAACTCAACTAAAAATTAAAAAGAATATTAATTTTAATTGAAGTCAACTTTTACTCATTCTTAAATAAGTTGTGAATAACTCAAGGAACAACTAAAAATATGATCAGAAAAAGGATGATTTACAAATTGATTTCATTATGCTTGAATTTTTAATTAAAAAATAAACAATAAAATTGAATAATTGATCGAATATAAATGGACACTTTTACGATAACTATTACAATAAATTGAAAAATAAAAATATATATATTGCAATATTTTAAAATATAAAAACCTAAATAAAATATCCTAGTAATTTCGCCCAAAAAAATCAAAACATCAAATATTATTTTATTTGAATATAACTTACTTTTATTTATCTTAATAAAAATGATTAATTAATAATAAATATTTATATTATATAAATTAAATATAAAAATTAAATCTTATTACTATTAAATCATTCATCATTTTTAAAATAATAAAATAGTTCTTCTGTTTAACCGAATGGACGGATTGATCCGGTTTGGTTCTAAGATGAAAAATCGAGAGAGGAAAAAAAAACCATTAGCTTAGATCTTCTACTTTATAAATCGTCATTGAAACTGACGTGGCATGTTATCATTCGAGTTCCGTAAGGTATAAAAGTCAAACCCGGGTCATTAATGTCATTCAGTTGAATTCTAAGTAAATCCCATCTCTCTCATTCTCCTTCCAATTTCGATGGTGAGTTTCTTTGAATTTGAATTAACTTTACACTTTATGCGAATTCTTTTTGCTGAATTTTTCACTTCCGTAATCTGCATTTTCCTTTGATTTAGGTGTTCTATTTTGGATTTTTTGTTTCTATGCGAAGTTTGTGAATTTTCATTCAGCTAATTTAGGGTTTTGGATTTAGAGGAATTCGGTGTTATGGATAGCAATAAAGACGAGGCTTTAAGATGTGTTCGCATTGCTGAAGAAGGAATTGCTTCTGGTAACAAACAGCGTGCGCTCAAATTCATTAGAATCGCTCAACGCCTGAACCGTACTTTATCTGTCGATAAGCTTTTGGATGCTTGTGAAAATCTCGATTCTGGGTCGGCCCCGGTTTCTTCTGTTGACGAAAAGTGTGTTTTAAGAGATGAGAATAAAGGCGGGTCGTCTAAGTTGGATGGGGAGAAAAGTTATACCGGGGAACATGTTCTGTTGATCAGGCAGATTAAGAGAAACAGTGACTATTATTCGATTCTTGGTGTGGAAAAGAATTGCACTGTTGATGAAATCAGGAGGGCGTATAAGAAGTTGTCCTTGAAAGTTCATCCGGATAAGAATAAGGCTCCGGGGTCTGAGGAAGCGTTTAAGAAGGTGTGCAAGGCATTTAAGTGTTTAAGCGACGATGATTCGAGGAGGCAGTATGATCGAGTTGGTTTGGTTGATGAATTTGAGTACAATCAGCGGAATAATGTGAGACAGAGACGGAGAAGACATGGGAATGATTTGTTTGATGATGATTTTGATCCTGATGAGATATTTAGGTCATTTTTTGGTCAGGGAGACATGTTTAGGTCAGCACATGTTTACAGGACAAGAGGAATGGGTGGTCATCAACAGAGGGAGGAGCAGCATAGAGGAGGACCTAATTTATTGCTTCTTATTCAGATGTTGCCGATTTTGTTGATTTTCCTGCTTGCTTATCTACCCAGTTCTGAGCCTGATTACTCTTTGTTAAGGAATTACTCCTATCAGATTCCTAAGACTACCGAGAAATATGGAGTGGAATTTTTTGTCAAATCATCAACCTTCGATGTGAACTTTCCCCAAGGAACTGCTGCTAGAGCTAATATTGAGGATAATGTCATTAAGGATTACAAACATATGCTGTGGCGATATTGCCATGTAGAACGCCATAAGCGCCGTTGGAATAAGGATTTGCCAACCCCACACTGTAATCAACTACAAAATCTTGGACTTGCATGAAGGTAATTTTAGCTACAAAATGTTGGCCCTTATGTCTTCTGTATCATGTGGTTTTATTTAATGGGTTTTAACCCATGATAAATTTTCTGAATGAACAGGGGATATGGCTAGATTCTGCTAGAGCATCAGCAAGATGTTAGGTTGATGAGCAAGGAACTCAGTCACTCACATGTTGTCAACTTCAAGAGCGTTCTTTTGCCATAATTGATCATTTGTTGAGATGGTTCTGGACCGGTTTGGATTGTATGCCAAGGTGCTAATGAGGCTTCCCTGGATACATCTAGGTGATAAAACTTCTCTTTTGCTAACGTGATGAGATACTACACTGCTGTTTGTACCTAGTATGGTCAGTGTGCCCATAGGAGGATAGTTGGCATAAACATAAGTCGAACCAAAATGGTCTTCAAGATTGTTTCTTTTTTTTTTCATTCTGATTGATTTATGGGGATGTCATTCTCTGATTGTCTATACTTCTTTTAGAACCATATCTTGGATCTTCCATGAGATCTTGTAGGCATTATGCATATGAATATGATTTATTCAAATGATCTTCACCTTTCCTTTGATTAGTTTTAGTTTTTGTGGAAATTTTGTTACTTGTTGTTCTCTCTGTGAAGACTTTGAGTGTGACCGGATGAGGTCAATCATCGATTGATGCCTTCTCTTTGTCCCATGAATATGGCAGTAATCATCAATTTACCACCTTCACTTTTAGTTCACTCGTTCCCTGTTCATCTGCCTTTCTTTGGGGATTCTTATAGTTAACACTATAATCTGATCCCTCCACAGCTTATATCATAGGGCCTTATCTTTGTAGCATTTGTGCTACACTTGAGCAAAGATAGAACTCAGATAAACAACTGACAAATAGGGCTTGCTGTTGAAAACAGAGGTCTTGTAAGATCATAAACTATGCCTGAAGCCAGATATGCATCGAGCATGGTCTAAATCATATAGCAGGAGACTATATGATGGGTTTCAGTAGCTTCAGCGGAATCATTATTAGGAAGAGAAATAAGAACCATGTGAACGTTAAAGCTGGGGTGAACAATGAAGACTGCATTACTAAAGACAAAAGGAATGAACGTTAAGCACCAATTTATCAACAAATAACCTGTCACATGCTTGGCTTGTGTCATAGTCCGAGAGTTCAGGCAATGCTGGACTGTGCCTGAAACTGCCACCGCCATCGAGCATAAGAGCTCGAGTCTTGACCTATCACACTCGCACATCATCTTGCAGTCGTTATTTAGATTCTTTTAGAAGTATATTTTTTAAGAAAGGAACTAGTGATAGCATCATAAGGATTCTTCTCGTGATCCAAACACTCTAATTAAGATTACAATAGCTTTCGATCACAGTACCCTCTAACTGATCCAAGCAGACTCTGATTGAGATTACAATAGCTTTCGATCACAGTACCCTCAGTTAGAGTGCCTAAATGCCTACATCTGATTCGACTTAACTTAAAAATGTTGAGAATAAACTTCATTTCAAATTCGATTATCTACTCTATTTATAGGCATAAAAAGTTTAATCAACTCAAAACAATAAATACTGAACTCTCCAGTCAAATGCCTTGGGATTATGTTCAATGTTCTTAATGAGGCTGAAACAGATGCTTTCTCGAAACTAGGTGTGAGAATTATCGCAAGGGAATATTTGAATGGCATTTTTATTGGCAGTTTAGCTTTTGTACTACTCGTCAGGGCCGGCCCAATACATGTGTCTGATGGGCGACGGCCTAGGGCAGCATGTAGGGCCGGGGCATCAGTTTCTAATATTGTGACCAGCCCACCTTGTGTAGGAATAAATCTGCCATGCTTCTAATATTGCAGTCAATTCCGCCTCCGCTGGATTTGACACTCCATTCGATCTTGAGAAGCGAATAAGAGTCGCACCGTTGAGATCAAGAAGAATACCCCCAATGCCGGCCTTGCTTACACATCCTTCAACGGCTGCATCGACATTAATTTTGAATTTATTTGCTAGGAGCAGACCAGGAGCCAAAGCTGGGTCTATTGGTGCTGGAAATATGTTTTAGAAGTGAAGATGCTGGATGACTTATAGTGAACTCACTAATCGACAGAATCGAATTCGGCCAATTGCTTTTAGCCCATGTGTCAATCCTTAGTACAACAATGTCAATTACTTGGAAAACATCACACCGTTTATTATTGAAGGTTGCTTCATTGCAGAAAAGCCAAATGGGTTATGCATTGGCAGAAAAAAGCAAGCTGTCAGAGTGTACGAAGAGACAGTTTGATCGGCACTTGTTCCCACATGATAAGAAAATTTTCCAGGGACTCAGAGATAACAAACCGAAACACGCACCAGAACTGCCAAATCCTCTATGAAACTTCAGTGGCAGAATAAAGGTTTAACTATTTTCAGGCTGTTTTTATATAATACGCAAATAGCCGATGCTTGCACACTTACACCATGCTTCAACAACTCAGACCAGACAGGAATGCGTTCTTGAACAGCTCTCCACATAAACGATTACACCTTTTGAGGAGCCAAACCTGACCAAACTAACCTCCACAGTCTATCTGCATTAGCTCCAACCGATGCTACTTTTAAACAAAAATATTTGGGCATGTAGAAGCCAGAAGAGTTACCTACCCACCTCAAGCAGTCTATACTCACTAAAACTCTTGATGTGTTGGTTATTAGGGTTAGAAAATTTTGCCAAAACTCAAATTCCCAATCAAACAATCGTCAGCGTTTTTTCCAAATTCACATATCTTACCTTCATTCTTCACAGCGTTTGTCTATTATAGGGCATAAAATTATTATCTCGCATAGGACATTAAAACTCATTGGACCGGCCTGCTACTCGTTATAGCAATAACATTTTTATTTTCCCTATCGTTCTTAATCCATTGTTTTTATCTATTGTTTGTGTTCAAATAAACTTTGGACTTTATTTCTTTTCTTAAAGCGTTTATGACGGACTAAATTAAAAAAAAATTGTTAACAAAAGGAAGAATTGAGAGTACGCAGGTGTTCTACGATGATTAAGAGTATGTGGTTCAAATTTGATAAAAATATACTTAAAATGAAGAATAAATCGAAGAAATAAGGAAATTATAGACCAAATTGCAAAACTGTCAAAATACTTGATCAAAATTTTTAAATTTCAACTTATCTCGAACTAAAAAACTGACTCAATAATTCGAATTGACTGAAATAACTCAACTCAAAATTAAAAAAATGATTTTTCAAATGAATAGGATTTTCTTCACCCCTAATTTCATGTAAGTAAGCATGTGATTTTTTTTTTTAATTTTTCATAAAATATTTGAGTCTAATATTTATATTCAACATTTCCATTTAAAGATATAAAAATAATCTCCGGATAATATAATTTCATACAATTTTCTCTCTTGTGGTACTATGAAAAAAATGTCCTTGGTCGAGCTTAAAATCATAATCATTTTTTGAAGCTATTTTTTTGAAATTTTATTTAATAAATATTAAAAATACAATAAAATCAAAGTTATAAAATGCTTAATGATTAAAATTAATTCGATTAACAACAACTAAAATTAGCTGACCATATTCTCATATGTAATGGGGTAATGGAGAGGTAGGATAATAGGCTGCCCCCAACGCCAGGTTGAGAGCAGCTTCCATGTGAGACCTTCGACAGTCAGAATTATGAATTGCCCACCGTGAGACTCGATCCCACGACCACAAGATTAAGAACCTTGCGCTTTACCAACTGAGCTGGACGGGCATGATAAAATATATAAATATACAGGTGCAGATGCACTAAGCCCCCTAGGGGGCCAAGTGCATCCCCCATTACTTTAGGGGGAAAATATGAAATTTAGTTTAATATATTAATGAAAATAGATTTTTTTTTTTTTTGCATTTCCATTATTTTTAGGAAAAGTATATTAAAATTTTGAACAACATTCATAAATTTTTAGATCCACCATTGTAAATATATATACTCAAATACATTGAAATATTATTTAGAAAAAAACATATTACAAGGTAACATTTCTTTTTTTCTTCTTTTTTTTAAAAATTTAGATAAAAGGGTGGTTCTCCAATCTAGGGTCAGAGTATACCTAAGACACAATTGAGACTTGCATGAAAATTTACATATTACCCACAAAATAAGTCGGTAAGATCTTTCTTTTCTTCCCAATTCCTTTAACACGAGAAATTGTTAAATTGTTGAGTAATGTAACTTCTGCATCTCCTCTTACAGGATCCACAAGTTGTTACCCACTCTCACGATACAACGATAAAATTCTGGGATCTTAGATATGGTAAATTGAAACTTATGTAACGTTTTCTTTTTCCTTTCTATATTTCTCATCTTTTTGTTCCCTTTATTACATATTGGTTGTTTAATTTCCAGGCAAAACGATGTCAACTCTAACACACCATAAGAAGTCCGTGCGAGCAATGGCACCACATCCGAAAGAATACGTGCCTCTACATCCAATTTATTAATTTACGCGGAAAACAAAGCTATTCCGTGGTTTTAAATGTTTCTCAACTTTTCTGTATCAGTCACTCTTTTGCATCCGCATCAGCTAACAACATTAAGAAATTCAGTCTTCCTAAGGGAGAATTCTTACACAATATGCTGCAAGTGAAAGCCATTTTACTTCCATGCTTGAACTCCGGACATGTGCTTATTCGTATTTTTAACGAACTATCGTTGTTTGTGTTCCGGAGCAGCTCTCAGCAGAAGACTATAATTAAACACCATGGCTGTCAATGAGGACGGCATAATGGCTACCAGAGGTACTTATAAAAATTCTTGCACATGCCTCTTTGTTAGCCCTAAATATGCAAGTATGGCTTCTAATGTTTTACCATGCAAATTGTTAAATGACAATGGAAGTTTGTGGTTTTGGGATTGGAGGAGTGGTCACAATTTCCAGCAAGCTCAGACAATTGTACAGCCTGGTACGTTTTTTTCCGGATTCTTTTTCCGCAAGCTCATGTCGATCGTGGCAATGGGAGGATGATTAACACAACGGGTTGCTTTTATCACAGGCTCATTGGATAGCGAAGCCGGTATGTACGCTCTCTCGTACGATGTAACCGGTACGAGACTGGTTAGCTGTGAAGCAGACAAGGCCATTAAAATGTGGAAAGAAGACGAAACTGCAACTGAACAAACTCATCCTCTTAACTTCAAACCACCGAAGGACATCCGCTGATTCTAGCTGCACATGTCGGTTCTCGTCCGGTTGGTGACTTGATCTTTGTTTTGTTAAAATGTACCTTTATCCCGGTGATGTAAGATTAGGACGACCTTTTGTTAATTATTATGATAAACCGTTGCTTAGGAAACAAAACAGCTATGGATGGTTCCTAGATTAATGCACCTGGATGATAATAATACATCCATTGACCCTATTTTGGTGTTCATTGCTAAGATTATTATAAATTCTAAAGCCATTCCTGGCGGTTCAAGCATGTAAAACGTCGGTCTAATTTTTAATGTAAATAATCCGGTCTATTTTTATAATGTCTTTGATATTTTAATTTTAAATAGGAAAATAAGGGTTAAATCTTAAAAATTATATATGCACCTTTAATAAACGTCTAATGTCATTCATGAAATTTAACTTTGTATAATTATATACATAAAATTTTAAATTTTAGTTTGATGTATTTTAACGAATTACAATTGAACTAAAAAAAGGGACTGAGTCTTAAATTTAAATTAGTAGAGGGACTGAAACCGTAGTTTCACCTAGTTGTTTTTCCTTTTAATCAATCTGATATATTGAAATAATAACATTGGTAATGACAGTTGAATGTAATTACCAAACAAAAGCTTCACTCGCACCGACAAACTACAATGGTGGAGAGCGATTATCCGGCGCCAATTTTCATGCAAAGAAACCCTACAGAACCGGCGAACTGCAACAAATGCTCCCCTTTTTCTCTCTCGTGGAATCATTCAAATTCGATCCAAAATCAAAGCCATCAAACCCAGTTTTAAATTCAATCCCACCGCCTCCCCCTCTTCTTTTTTATCACCAAAACAAAAAATAATGGCGTCCGAACTGATTCACAGAAACCAGAAACCACAATCTCCAACTCTAACTCCACGTACCAATCCCTCAACCCCATTCCGTTACATGGCTCAGAAACAGAGTTTCTTCTTCGTTCTCGTCGGGATCGCCATCGCCGCCCTGTTTTCAACTCGTTCCCCGTGTGGACGTCGTCGAGCGGCGGCGGGTTAATCTCGCGGTCCGAGTCGAGTTCTGTGACTCGGAGACTGCTTTACGAAGATTACAGCGAGGGTTCGTGGGAGGAACGTGGCCGGGAAAGTTCCGTTGGGGGTGAGGAAGAAGAACCTGAGGATTGTGGTTACCGGTGGAGCTGGGTTCGTGGGGAGCCACCTTGTGGACCGTCTGATCGCGAGGGGCGATAGCGTGATCGTCGTCGATAATTTCTTCACCGGACGGAAAGAGAATCTTATGCATCATTTTGGGAATCCGAGGTTTGAGCTGATCAGACATGATGTTGTGGAACCCATTCTGTTGGAAGTTGATCAAATCTATCACTTGGCTTGCCCTGCTTCCCCCGTTCATTACAAGTTCAATCCTGTCAAGACCATTATATCCTTCTCTTTCATGTTCATATTATCTTTATTAGCATTTAACATAATATTAAAGGATAAACTACACGTTTAGTATCACAACTATCACTTTTGTTTCGTTTTAGTCACTCAACTATTAATTTTTTTTCAAAATCATACATAATGTTACGATTTAATTTCATTTTGATCAACGTCATTAAAAAAGTAACAGAACTATTAATGTGACACTTAAAAAAATGCAACAATGATGTGATTTTATATTATGGTGACACATCATCGTCATTGTTAATTTTTTAACGGCGGATGATCAAAATGAAACTAAAATATAACGTTAGGTATGATTTTGAAACAAAAAATAGTTGGATGACCAAAACGAAACAAAAGTGATGGTTGAGGTATTAAACATGTACTTTACCCTATATAAAACTTATCAGTAGAGTGAGTTGAGTAGGTTTAGAGTCTAGAGCATGTAAGTGAACTATGTTGTTAAAATTTTTCTGTCTGTGATAGTTTTTACTTCAATTATTTTGAATTTAGATCAATGTGTGGTGGAATTTGGAATCCTTGATTGTTGGGATGGATCCACAAGACCAATGTGGTGGGAACATTGAACATGCTAGGGCTTGCAAAAAGAGTTGGTGCCCGTTTCTTGCTAACCAGCACCAGTGAGGTCTATGGTGATCCTTTGCAGCATCCCCAGGTTGAGACCTATTGGGGCAATGTCAATCCCATCGGTTAGTTCATTCCCTCTCTCTCTTTATATACACACACGAAAAAAAAACTGAAATCTGAAATAACTCGAAAAAATTGTTTAACACGTTTCGATACATCGAAAGGTGTGCGGAGTTGCTACGACGAGGGCAAACGGACTGCGGAGACCTTGACCATGGACTACCATAGAAGCCTTGGCATTGAGGTTTGTATCATATTCTTTGAAGCTCAGATTCGAGTTCGAGTGTAAGAACCGGAACAAGATAAACTATTCAACTTGATCCGGCAGGTGAGAATCGCTCGGATTTTTAACACGTACGGTCCGCGAATGTGCATCGATGATGGTCGGGTTGTCAGCAACTTTGTAGCCCAAGCATTGAGGAAGGAGCCGATGACTGTCTATGGTGATGGAAAGCAAACCAGGAGTTTCCAATATGTTTCGGACCTAGTAAAGAAACTTGTCTCACATAACATTTACCGTGCCTTAAAATTCATCATCTGATTTACTTAATAATGCAACTTATATTTATGTACATGCTAGGTGGAGGGCCTAATACGGTTGATGGAAGGTGATCACGTAGGTCCTTTCAATCTCGGAAACCCCGGCGAATTCACCATGCTTGAGCTCGCCGAGGTAAGAAAAAAAAAACCCGACCGACAGATTACTTTGTGTCGGACGTATACAGGGACAACTCCGCTAAGGGTAGTTCGATATTGTCGATGCAGGTGGTACAGGAAGTAATAGATCCGAATGCAAAGATAGAGTTCAGACCGAACACAGAAGATGATCCACACAAGAGGAAACCGGACATCTCAAAGGCCAAACAGCTTCTTGGTTGGGAACCCACCATTTCCCTACGCAAGGGGCTTCCATTAATGGTGAATGATTTCAGGCAAAGAATCTTTGGTAACCCAAAGACAGTTCTTGTCGGAGATGGCGCAACGGCTTAATAGCCATACTTATTATTACATTATCATTAGATAAAACATTTTTGGATTTTAGCATATATTATATTTTACTTGTCTTATGTACGGACGTGAGAGTATGTTTATGAGTTCAAATATTTAATTTTTAATATATTTATGTTGGATACATACCGTATATATTCGTATCGAATATGATCGTTTTCGAGTGAGATAGCATGGTTTTGTGACAAGTGCAAGGGGGGTATAAGGGGCTCCTTTTGCCACCCTTGTTCATTGATCCTTGTGTCGTGGTATTTTTGCTTGATGGCTTTGCATTTTTGTAAATGGCAAAGAGCAAAAGCTGAGCGGTTACAGGTAGGGAACCTATCCCATTTGGTACCTATAAGCAAACAATAAGATAGATAATTAGGCAAATATTAGGGTATCTTTATGAATTCATAAGTCACTATATGATCCTTTATAAATAAAAAGACACTGAAGATTAGGGGTGTTAAAAAATATCTAATATGCCGACCCGATTAAAAAATAACAAGTATTTATATTAAAAATTCATGATTTTTTGGGTCGGGTACCCGACCTGCTAAATATTTTGGGTTTCAAGGTCGAGCCAAGGTCACAAAATGTTGCTTAACTGGGTAACCACCGATCCGTACCCGGTTTATTATATATATATATATATATATATATATATATATCATTTTTATTATATATTAATTTTTTATTTATAATTCTCAAATTATTTCACTCTAACATTCTAAATTTCTAATTTCTTAAAATTTACCACCATAACATTCTAAATTCTTAATTTCTTTAATTATTCCATATTAAATATAATTATTTTTTAAAATATTTATTTTAACTTAGAAACCTTTGAAATTTAATTATGCATTTTATTTTAATTTTCAATATTTTTTATGTAATTTGAATTTTTAAATTTTATGTGTGAATTATATATTATAGACCTTTAATTTTTAAATTTTTTATATAATTTTTTAAATAATATAATTTAAAGAAAAAATTAAAAAAATTATGAAATGGGTATTCGTGACCCGGAAATATGGATAACCGGGTTTTACGGGTACTTGACTTACAGGTACCCTGATGTAATGGGCCGAGACAAGCTGACATTTTGGTACCCAAAAATTCTGAGTACCCGAAAATACGGGTACCCGATTTTGAACACCCTAAAGATTATAAACTTTGCTCAAATGATTGATTTCGTTTTTGAACTTATAAAATTACAAAATGATCATTAAATTTATTAAATTGATATAAAATAATCATTAAATTTACCAATTTGTTGCAAAGTGATCATTAAGTTTATTAAACTTTTGCACTTATTATAATGTCACGGTGATTATTCTATAACAGTTCGATAAATTTAATAATCATTTCATAATTTTTTTAAAATTTTAGTGATAAAAATAATTATTTAAATATAGTTCAGTACCTTTTAATATACTTTATCCTAAAAAATTGACTCAAAGGCAAAAATTTTATTTATTTTAATATTCAAAGATTATTTTGATAATTGAAAAATTATAGATAATAGAAATGTTACCCCAAGGAAGAAATCATGCACAAGCAAAGCATAGAAAGTCCAAATCCCTCCATTCAAGCAAAGGAGAAAGGAGAGGGAAAATGGCATGTACTTCACACTTTTGCTTCTCGCCACCATTTTCTGAAATAACAAAATCTGATAAGAATCGAATAATATAATTAAAGACATCTAATTCCATTTAGTTCAGCATAATTTATAAATTAAGATAATTATCAAACACATCACGATTATATTATTATATCTAATTACAATTAAATCTAATTGCACAATAACTTTTAAAACATGTCTATGTTTGATTTCTATTAGACAACTATGTTTCGTTTCTGTTATACAAATATGCACCGAGTATCATCATGTTGTGTAATAGAAATCTGACTTTAAGGATAGAAATGAGTCGGGTGTTTTTCAATTCCAAGAAGTTTATATTCTTTATCTGAATCAGACTCGATCCGAGTTTAGAGATATCTTAATAAATTTAAAATTTAACTTGAATTTTAGGGTAAAAATTTACATATGATCTGATTCGACATGAATATATATTTTTTATTTGGTAAAGTAGGGACCTAAAGAATTTTAGGTCATTGGGTCAAGTATAATTAACTATAGAAAATGGGGACAAAATCAAAATCTAAAGGCCTAAATATATATTTATCCATATATTTTTAATGGTAAATATTTTTTTGGGGGCCTACATGGCTCCGTCCCAATAAATATACATAAGAAAATTATACTAATATTTTGGACAAGGTCTAAGATTTTTAAACATATATCTTAAAACCCTAAATCTTAATATTTTAATAACGATCGTATTGAATAGAGTCAAGTCAAAATCCGTCGGATTCAGAAAAATTTGACACAGTAGAATAATCTACAAAAAGACGGAGGTCCAAGTCTGAAAAGTTCATACCATGGCAGCTAGAGGGGAGCCATACATGATGATGTTAAGACCACAACGCATGGACCCTATTGCTCCAATCCGAGTTTCCCCTTCCAATGCCAACTGAGTCACAACAATGGCAGCTGCAAGAAAACCCACATCCACTATCCCTACCAAAATCCCTGTCTTAACCTGCACCACAAGAAAATACCACAAACCTAAAACTTATCCAAAATCAGGGTTTGTTCTCTCAAGTTAACTCCAATTACCCTCATGTTCTTCGGAGCATAAACGAGGAACAGAATGACATAAACAGCTTCGACGAAGATGCCAAAGCCGTTAACAGTGGCGACAAGGAGTAACATAACGTCGCGAATGAAGAATCAGAGAAACATAACGTCCAATTGTTTAATCTTACATAGGAGAAAGAAAAAGCAGAACCGAGATAATATTGCATGCATGAACAAAAACACTTTAGGCTGCCATGATATATATATATAGATGTTCTGAGCCTTTACCTATAACACGCACAAAGAAACTCAAGCCAACTTCCATTGTTGAGTGAAATGGAAAAATTTTAAGTATGTTTGAGAAGGAAAGAGAGAGAACTACTTAGAGGAGGGTGTCAATTCTCTGAAATCTTTTCTAATGAAGAAGCCTTTCATCAACGACGACGAGCTTTGAAGGCATGCTTTTCAGTTGTTCTCACTGGAATACGAGCTTTCAAGGCATGCTTTTCAGTTGTTCTCACCGACATATGTAGTTACGAACGATCGAGGCAAGGCAAGGTTTTCAGCTTGCATATCGTCGCAAAATGGAGTTGCACAACTGAGTTCAGAAAGTAAAAGGGGATGGAAGGGAATGGGGGTTGGGATAGGGTTTTAGGTATTTTAGATATTTTAATTATTATAAAAAAATAAAAAAATAATAATTTAAAGTGTATTTATAATAATTTACCCAATTAAGTGATCCCAATGGTTCTCCAATGTGGCGGTCAACCTAGTCAATTCAATCTACGTAAGCAATTAACGTGCCAATTATATTTCTATCACGCCTCTTAACGACTGTTAACGTGGAGTGAGTAGTTTGTAACCAATCAATAACGTTAGTGACCGATTTATAATTTTTAAAACTTCAGTGAGGAAACGAAACTTGGCTCAAACATTAGTGACAAACTATGTAGTTTACCCAAGTTTAAATTTTCAATTAGTTGTTTACCTCACTGAATCAGTTAACTATTGATATATTAATCTTAATATTTTTAATATTAAGTGATAAGTAGCTATCCATTACGTATCTTATTCAACACAAAAAAATTAAATAATTAAAGATTTTCTTTTTCAATAGTTTATCAAATACACCTTTGATTGAGGAAATTAGGTTGTCCTCGTCTCTTTAATATTCTATTCAAATTAATCGATTAATTGATTAGATATCAATGATTATACCAAATATACCTTTGATTCGTACACTATAATTGTATTTATATGATCTATTTTATATAAATTTAGACACGTTAATTAATAATATTGTTATATAAATTTTATCATATTTCTTTATTAATGATACTTTTTATATTTTATTATTATTTTTCAAAAATATGGACAGTGGCCCATAGGAAAGTATAAGATTCTATGGACTATTGTCCTAATTCCTAACTTTTTTTTTCAGTCATTCTTCCATGTATTCAATTTTGTCACCTAACCTTTCTCACCAATTCATGACTTTTATTTTACTCAAAATGTTTATATCATTTCCATTTTTCATATTATTTTTTTTTAATTTCATAAACATGATTACTATTTGATATAATAAGTTCTTTCAACCTGAATAATCTTATTTTGGGAATTAATTCTTAAAATAGTAGAAATTGAAGGGTTATTAGAAGAAATACAGCAAAAATGAAGTCCTTAATGGCAAATAGAAGTATGTTTTCTTATAGGGACTAGAAACATTGTTTGTCTGACTAAACGTACTAAATCTTCATTCCCTCTCACCACAAAACAACAGTTATGAAACATTGTCGTTTTGGTACACAACAAACACTCATTGATTGTCCCAATAAAAAACGATATCACACAAATGAAGTAAATTAATATTTAATAATTCGGTTTATAGAATTTCTTAATTTTTATACAGGAAATGATTAAATTTAGTATTATTATTAAACGTGATGTTAATGCAGGAATAATCTTATATTTATGATTATTTGAATGTTATTTAGCATATTTAAATGACTTTAACTACTAAATCTTAACATTTTTTTTATTTTTTTAAACCTTGAATTTAAATATCAAATCATAAAATCTAAAATATATAATCTTAAATTATAAACTCTAAATAAAATATATTCATACAATATGTGATCCTAATTATTTATAATTTTCTCACTATCAATACATAAAATAATAATATTTTACTAAATTCACTAATAAACTTAAAAATATAATAAAATATATTAAGTGATTTTAGTAGTTAAAAAAATATTATTTTAAAAAAAAAATTGATTTCAAATAATTGAGTCAATTGTAAATAAATTAAAAAAATTCTAAATAAATATTATCTTAAATTATTTAAAAAATATATATTAAAAATAAAGTTTATATTATATTAAAAACAATATATATATATATATCTAAATAGAGAAGTGAGCAATCCAAAATACATTTACCTTGATTCCAGGAACAGTGAACCAAAAAGACAGAAGATTAAACATTTTCATTACAAAATTAGCAAAACATAACATTAGGAAACACAACAGTTTTAACAACAAAACCAAACAAAAACCATTCTTCTTCCGTTCATGGCGGCTCGTTTTTTGTTTTTCAATAACCAGAACCGCCGCCTCAGCTTCTTCCACTTTCATGGCGGCGACGAACAGCTGAAGAAGAAGAGGAAGAAGGTTTCATGGCTGCAAAAGAACACTTTTCTTTCTTTAATGTCTCTTCTTCGTCCATCATAATTTGCCTGCACCTACACTCCACACTGCAAAAGCCCCTATCTCCTCTACCAAAAATCAGAATTTGCCTGCACCTACACTCCACACTGCAAAAGCCCCTATCTCCTCTACCAAAAACACAAAACAAAACCCAGATCAGTCAAAGCAAAAATCTGGGGAAAAAAATAAAACATCAGGAGGAGAAAAAGGAAATAAAAACAACTTACTGGTACATATAGATGTCTTGTGCAGGTAAGAGTTTTCGTTTGCAAAGGAAGCATTGCTGAAGAAAAGGAGAAACTGCGTAGTTTGACTGGGAATTTACAAAAGAAACTTTGCCTCCGCCGCCGCCGCCGCTGCCGCCGGTGATGGTGGTGATTAGCATGCTTGTTTTGCTGATAACTTGTGGGTTCTTTTTACTAATTATATTAGTACCACTATTTTGTTTTTCCAAAACTACGCTTAATCCCACCATTATTTCATTCTCCCTTTTTATAATTTATATATGTATATATTGATATGAAATATGGTTGTGGTGGTGGAGAGTTTAGGGAGACGCGGGTGTTTGGTTGATGAGAAAATAAAAAAGATTTTCGAGGAAAATAAATAGAAGGAGAGACAGAGAGAAAGGGGAGGGTGGGGCCCGCATTGCTATAAAAAGAGCAGTAACGGAGGACGATTTAGTGCAGCCAACGATGTGACTTGTATTGCTGTTATCTGCCACGTGTCTCTCTTCTTTAGTTTCCATTTCATTTTCTTTGTTTTCACCCTTGTTTTCATCTGTTTTGTCTGTTTCTGCTAAAACTAATAATATTAATTATTAACGATAATATATGATAATTTAAAATTTTCTAGACGTATTCCCTCTATCTATACCTGATTATTAACAAAAAATCTTGTAATTTTACACATTGATTTATTAATATGGCTTTTTCATAACAGCCCAATTGATTTTTTCAATATATGAAATGCATCTACTGTTAAAAAAAAAAGTTAATTGACTCATCAGTGGCGGAATATGGTGATAAAATTTGAAGGGTCAATTTAAAATTTTAAAATATTTGAAAGTTTAAATTAAATAATTAATATTTTTTGAGATTTCGGGTTCGAGCACCAGAAATGTCGGGATGTGAACATTCAATTTCAAATGATTGAAAGTTTTTTTTTTTGCTTACAAAAAGTTTAGGTAAGGAGTGACTCCCCAATCCATGGCCAGTATATACCTAAGACCCAATTGAGATTTATATATGAATTTATAGATTGTTCACTAGGAGTGACGGTATTAGGATTCAAACTTGACCTTAAAAGCTCAAATTCCTGAATTCTAACCACTTATATCAACACTCGTTAACGATTGAAAGTTATCTTTAAACATATACTACTTTTAACTTACCCAAGTTAATAAAAAAAATGATATGTATCCAATCTAACAAATGAAATCATTTAAGTATATATACGTTCCATGATCTATGTTTAGGATTAGTGTATGGCTTTCCAGATAATATCGTCTCTAAGATTTAAACATGTGTTCTTTCATTGAGAATGCAATTACACTTAATTCTAGTGAGTAGCATAAACAAATCTTCAGTCTCCAAATTGTTACAATAGAAACAAGGGTGAAGTAAAAAAACAAATTGTCATTGGAGATTGAGGTTGAAGTGTAATTTTTTAAAGAGGGTCCTAGGGTAGTTTTACAATTTTATAAAATAAAAAATTACTCTTTTTGGAACTAAAAGAGAACTTTTCCAAATTAAGAGGGGGGAATGAAGAATTTTACCATTTTATTGCTAAAGCCTTGTACATTTGAGGGCTAAAATAGAATTTTTACCAAATTAAAGGACCATGGCCCCTACTAGTCCCTTAGTGTCGCCTTGATTATATAGAAACACTATATTTGTTGGTCAAAGTTGTTTTCATTAATTAATCAAAATATTGAGAAGATAAATTACTTGGTATATATGCTATATAAATCTATCAAACGGGTTGATTCAAGTGGTAAACAATTTGATATCGTTTAAGTAAAGTATTAGATTCGAGTTCTTGTGTATACAGAAAATTTCCGCTGAGAGACTCACCCACTAGCTAGGTGTACGACTTGGGTCGGTCCAGATTAGTTAAGGTAAAGCCTTTGAACCATGGAGGACAACAAAAAAAACATGGATAAAATACACAAATGGCCCCCAACTGTAGGATACTACTTTCTAGTCCCTCAACTATTAAAAGTTACAAAATAGTCCTCCCACTATGGAATGTTGTTAAGTCCTTCAACTATTAAATGTTACAAAATGATCACCCGCCTATTCATTATGTTTCAAACTTGAAATCGGGAGACCATTTGTGTACTCTACCCATAAAATTTAAACTTCACAACTATGCCTATTTTAATGTCATCAGACATATTTGAATTACTTTAAACTTTAAAACTTACCCTATAAACTTCAAGTCATAAATAAAACATATAAGTTAGAACACCGCTTGTAAAATATGTTTTTCCACTATCAATATATGAATATTAATAATTCTACTCGTAATTAGGATTGTTAGCTCTTTATCATTTTTAAGAGACATCTGAAGAGTTACGATTATACAAAAATTCTAATTATTGAAATATAAACTAAGACGTACCTTTTTCAATAAACTCCAATTCCTAAGTCCATTTCTTAACCTAAAAAATCCATAGAAAATCAACACATTTGAAACAATTCTTTGAAATTATGTGGAAAAGCAATTGCCCACAAGATAACTGAAAATAAAATAACTCTAATGTCAACTATGTCATGCTTTCATATTCATATATACGTGCCCATTTGATTTTACGATAAGTTTTGCATGATTGGTTTAACCCTAAACGCTATATCTATATATACGAGAAATTATTTCATGGTCCTAGTTCACTATGTCACTTATGGTTCCAGTGAATGAGGGTCACAAATTTTAAAATAACTTCCGAATAAATATTTACTCTTTATTTACACGTAAAAAAAAAGTGAAAATTCACCTTAGAAGAAAATGAGACGAACAATTATTATTGATTAAGACTACGGATGAGTAATGAGCCGGAACCCTTCAATAATTTTTCCTATAATACATACACGTCAACAACACTTCATGAAAATGACACGCTCAAGATAAATACTTGTAAATAATTTCAGTGTTTTGTCCATTTTTACAATGGGGTTTTGTTTTTCCAACATATAAATTTTAAGTGACTAATAATAAATAACGAAACCGCCAACAATATCTTGGCACGCGTAAGGTGATGGTTTGTAATGATAAACACACCGATAAACAAGACGGTGGATCGATAATTTGTGGGTTATCCTTTCTAATACGTGTGAAGAGCCACAAGTAGGCTAGGACCCAAGGTAAGAGTTCGAATATATTTTCAGAAAGTATCTCTAGAAAGAGAGAGCATAGTACTAAATTGTACTAAATTACGGTTGTGGGTGTTACAATTATTACGACGTGATTCTTTTCTTACAAATAATTATGTTTTACGTTACGGTTGTGGTTTGCGGTGTCGCGGTGACCTTGAAAAACGTTAACAACAATTTAATACTATAAAAGAGATTAAAGGAGTTATATTATATACTTTGAACATCTAATTGTCACATGACAACTTATTCGTAGGACGAATGTGGGTTTACGGAACTGTATTAGTATTCGGTTTTAGGTTTTGAAAAGGTGGTCTAATATATGTGATGAGTGGTCTTGAAGTAGAACCCCTCTAAAGTGGTAGATGATGTAACTCATATAGTCAAATAAATCTACATATTGAAATGTGAAGTAAATATATTAAGCTTATGACGATTTAAACACAATCTTCACGACTCTATATTCAATCGAACTACAAGACAATCACATGTCTATCAAGTTTAGAAGATATATAATAAAACCCTTTTTGGGATAGTCTGCTCAATACAGGGCCGGTCCAATGAGTTTTAATGTCTGTGCGAGATAATAATTTTATGCCCCTATACTTGTACTGTATAATAGACAAAACATAAATATTTTTTTTTAAAAAGTGTAATAGAAATTATAGTCAAACAATATCAATACTAATACAAACCAAAACCTACAAGGCTACAAATATCACCTAAACGATGTCATCGACCGATTAGGTGTTTTGGGCTAATTTTTTTGGGCCAAATATATATATACACACTATAATCACTAGAAAACTGATGTCTCCCTTAAACATGTTGCCCTGGGTTAAGGCCCATCTAGCATATATATTGAGCCGGGCCTAGTTCAATATTTTACATTTAGAATTTAGTCGATTGATAACTCTATGTCCAAACTAGAAGAAATGAATCACAAATTATAAGCCTAATCATTTTCTTTTCTTCATTTCAAACTATAGTAAACCCATCTTATTCATTGAGCATCAATACTCTTGGCATAATAGAAAATTTTAAACATGATAATGACAAGTTAAGCATAGCCAATTTCATCAAATATCTTAGTTTTCTTCTTTTAATATAATATGAATGATTCACAACTTTTGTTTTCCCTTTGTTTTATTCCTTTCTTTTTCAATTCATGCACTTTAACATGGGAAAATAATTATTACCGCATAGCATTTTTATTATTTATATGTTTATCATCTTACTATTCAAGCACTATAAAGATGAGACAATAGACTTATATATATTTATCTATTTATTCACTTTAAACTGCGACAAGGGAATCAATGGGATTTCTTTGGGGACATTGGGTCCCCTCTCTCATTTATATTATAAAAATAATATAAAAGATTTAAATTTTTATATAATGTGAAATATTAACATATAAATAAACAAATAATCCATTGGGTGATGGTGACTTTGCAAGAATTTTTCTAAGATACTTGCGTTGGAACTAAAAAGCAACCTAAAGATGGCATTTGGGAACAAACTTTTTGTAAAATAAATTATAACAAAAAGTGATGGAGATGTTTGATAAAATAAAAATGAAATAATTAGGGTTGTTGGGGGAATTTCAATCAAGTAAAGTACCAGTAAAACATTGATAATAATTGATTAGGATTACCTTTTTTTATTGAATATATTCCATTGGGATTTATGAATCAAAGTGTTACTTCCTTTTTCTTTTCTTTGAGTATTTTTATTTATTTATAGAAAGTAGCTAATTTTATTAAAAATAGAAAATATTTAGAGTTATAATAAAGATTTACAAGCATAATCGTAAACATAAACTAAATTATAATTAGGACATTTTCCTATAACCATTGACACAAAAACTCGCCACCTAGATCACACAATGACAAAAAAAAAGATTAAAAAATCTAACCAATGCTCGAACAAAATAAAGATACGAACAAATCTGACTGCATCGGCAAACGAACCACAAAAGGTGATGAAACCATTGAAGACCACCGACAAATCACAATTCAAAGTCAAGCGACATGAGAAAACTATCCATGAACGCAAAACACGTATCTAAATAAATCTGAGGGTTCAAAGCAAGGAAGATCAACATGATAACAAATAAGTGTCATCATGATCAGTCGTGACGATGTCAAATCTAACTTTGAGAAAAAAGATAACAAAAAATGACAAAAATCGTAAGCTACCAAAAGGC